ATTAACTCGTCGAGTACCGGTTTTGTAGACACAATTATAGAACAATAGGTTGCGGTCACCGGTGACCGCTTGGTGTTTGACAGTTTAAAAGAGACTTAAATACCTGTAATTTTTCGCGAAATCATATTTAGTGGTCTCGGCGGTGGAGAGATGGTGCGGCGAGTCCCGCGGGCCCACCGGCCTAAATCGAAGGCCGCTCAAGTAACTGCTCAACCCTTTACGTAGCCTATGTACATTCTGTAGGAAAACAAGACATTTCTTACTCGTAAATAAAAGTAGCTACTTAATTTTTACAAGAAAATGGAACTAAAAGGAAGAAATAGCCAAGAGGCTCATCAACGATGATGCGCTTGTGGAGGCCCGGCTTCGAAGCTTCGAAGACAGGCGTAAGATTGCAAGCCTTTCGGTTTTCTACCGGATAAATTTCGGCAAGTGTGCGGGGGAATTGCATAACTTGATTCTCCCTAGGCGTTTCCATCATCGTACCACAAGACAATCGGCGAAGCGTCACCGATTCATGGTAGATGTCCCACCCATAAGCACGAAGCGCTTCGAATCAAGCTTGCTTGTGCGTTTTGCTAAGAAGTGGAATTCTTTGCCACAGTCAGTATTTCCTGAAGGGTGTCTTCAAGGCCCGAATTAATAGGTTGCTTAGGGCACGACGTGCTCCATCAAATATATAAATAGCATACGTAAGTACTACTGACTGGCAGATAGTCTGTGCCACAAGTCCTACGATATTATATTTTGTAAGCAGTTAAGAATTTGATGGTAGTTGTTAATATTTTCGAAGTACTTACCTCTGTGTTTCTTGGAGACAGTTCTGGATTGTGATTTACTAAAACAAAACAAAGTTCGTTATTACTTCAGCTTATTTATGGACATTGTATATCGCAAATAATTTGTTTATTGAATGAGAAATATTACTATAGTTATTTATTGTTATGTTATAGAAATAACGGGTTTTTTTACCTTTAGTCGCTTCGTACGATAAATTATGTTTTTTCGATACTTTTTCATATAGGTCTTTCTGCAGTTTGAAGAAGCTGAAATGTAAATGTTTATTTTAAATAAGTTACTGTTATCTAATATTATTTATTTCTATATGCTTTATTGTACACATTTAAGCCAATGTAACAAAAATAATAAGTAAATATGCGTACATAGGAGGGTCTTATCACATAATAGTGATTTCTTACAGAAAACTTTTAAATGGATTTTTTTAAGAAATCAGATATGGGGTTCATAAAATGGCCGATGCTACAATAATTTGACCGTGACATTACAGAAAACTTGAACTTCAAAACCAAATCTTATCAAACAAGATAATGTCAACTAAATTAAATAACAGGAACATAAATTAGTCACTCAAATACAGGTAGGTATGTATGAGATAAGATTTACAGATGGATAAGACAGGTGACAAGTTAAATTAATTACTATGATAAGTGGTAGACAGAACTCAAGATAAATACTATCGGAATGGCTTTGTGAATCGGTCTGTAGATATCGCAAAAATTATAACTCAGCTAAGCATCGTTTCTCGACTAGATAGGTTATTTTTAGGAGCATCAATTACGGGTAGGTTCTACTTCTACTGGTACATATTACTTATTGGTGTGTCGTGGTGGCCCGGAGGTTTAAGACGCCCAGTTCTCATGCTTGAGGGTGTGGGTTCGAAACCTACCGACGGCAAATGCCAATGTGACTGTTTCCGAGTTATATGTACTTTCTAAGATTCCACTGACAAACGGTGAAGGAAAACATCATGAGGAAGCCTGGGCTTATAATTTCTAATTATAAGTTTGTAATCGCCAACCCGCATTGAGCAAGCGTGGTGATTAATGCTCAAACAAAAAAGGAGAAACTAAAATCACTTACAAGAAGAAACTAAGATCATTTTACACACTTCAGACTGAAGTTTTTGTATCTATGTATTTAGTAATATAAGGTTTCTCTATTATGCATGCTGTGTTCACATCTAGTAGGATTTAATCTTAATTAAATGTCTTTCCATATTTTATATTATAATAAAAAAGTGGTATAAACTCATCATGGAACATTGAGAGATCATTGTTGGTTACCTCAGAAATCTTAATAGGTAACTTGACGAACGAAATATGAACACTAACGAGAGGAGCATTAGTGATTTTCTACGTGCCAACCAATTTTGAGCTCTTCTAGAGTAGGAATAAGATAGTACTAACGCGCCACGGTCAATGTTGGTGAGGATCTCGCCATTCTGGGAGTCCCACACTTTGATGTTTCCTTGCAGGCAGGAGCTGACGACCTTCTCTCCATCTGTCACCAAACACTCCACCTCCTGACTGTGACCAGCCACCACCAATGGGACTGCTTCCATTACCAACTAGAAAGATAAACAAGTTTTATGTAACCACTGTATAATATACAAACTCAAGATTTTAGAATAAATGCAACTGCAAATTACTAAACAAGGTATCTTGATTATTTTTAAGATATTATTATGGTCAGTCACAGTCATGTCACCTGATCGTCCATGAACACTAGCGACATCAGATTTATAACTGCGTGGCCAGAAAATAAATAACATTAGGGCCTAAACCCGATCCGGTACGATCACGCCGGACTAAATATCGTAATGAGCTCGCACCCCTTTATATGGGACTCATAAAATAACTTGCAAAAATTGAGTGCACCATTTTTTATTATTTTATTTTACTTTGTGTATCTCGTTATATTAAAACTAGACTTCTGGGGGCTTACACTTGAATCCAATTCCGATCGATCGGCATTGGTACCTATTGTGAAATTTCGTACCCTTGAGTTTCAACACCAGCGCTCATTGCATCCGTATTGCGTGGATATTTAATGAGCTAAATGGAATTGAGTTTGGCTTTGTATTCCGTACTCTGAATGTTTTCTTAACAGCTACGATAGGAGTTGTATAGTTTTGACTATGAATAATCATTGAGATTTTATTGGATTCAAATTGCATTGTCATTGAGATTGGTTTCAAGAGTAAGTACCCTGGTCCGAATTGAATGATTCTTTTTGTATAGTCCATTTATCGAGGAAGGCTATAAGTCTATAGCTTTCGTGCATTTTATTATTAATAAGAGATCTATAGGAACCGAGTAGGGTGGATGAAACCTCGCGGGAGTTGGTCATCCTTAGATATACTATGTCTTTTTCCTGGATCTGAAATTGCCCCATCGATTTTCAGCTAAATTGAACAAGTGGTTCTTGAGTTATAAACAAAGTAACTAACACGACTTCCTTGTATACATATTCATATAGAAATTGATAAGGTTACCTGTACTGCAGGTTGTTTCGCCACAATCTTCCTGTATTCATCATCATCACTCCACGAAGCTCGCCACTCAGCGTAATGCCGAGAACACACGCATCTGTTGATTAGGTAACAAATATTACAATCACACAGATTTCTCTAAAAGGAGAAATTATTATTCTTGAATTTTGTGATTTAATTTGCAACATTTCGTCCATAACTAGAATTGACTGGGTTCTTTCGTTGTTTATGATTTTATTTCACTATTTAGAAAGAAAGATAAACTATTTATTACTTCAGTCTCAATTATTTATAAATAAAAAACATAAACGACTACCTCGTTGGCTGAGTGGTCGCAAGTGCGACTGCCGGGCAAGGGGTCTCGGGTTCGATTTCGGGGTCGGGAAAGGATGATGATTTAAAAAAAAATCAGTAGTAGCACGGAGTCTGGAATTGTGCGCGGTATATGGCAAAAGGATCACTTCTTATTACATGGGACTCATGACATAGATAGTGAAAAGTGGGTGTAACATTTGTACAGTGACACTAAGTGTCGTAATGTGCACCTCGGCCTACCCTTTCGAGGATAAAAGGTGTGATGTTATGAATAGAAACTGTCAATGACAAAAAATAAATGATAATATTTACCGGTAAAGCACGACCATCATGTATGCGATGACGGCGACACTGATCGTGCAGAGGATGGCCAGCAGAAGGATCTCCATCGGCGTGGTTGGATATATTGGCAGGTCGGATCCCTTGCCCCACGCGTGAGGCTGGCTTTTACCTTCCATTAGCTCGAACTCTAAACATAGAAAATTGGGAAATATTAGATGTAGCGGAAAATTTATGACACACAAACTGACAGTATTTATGAAATATTATTATTGTTGTCTTATATTTGTCTTTGTGATTAATGGTGCATGTAACATAAATTATGAGTTTGATTCATGTACAGTGTGCGTATTCCTCTGGACAAGAAATCCTATATACGTTAACTTTCTCATAGTTATCCAAATTCAATTTTACAAAGTTTTCAAGCAAATCTATGGTTTACGTTAAGTTAGTAATTTTTTGAAGTAACTATTTTATTAATATGGATTACTTTATTTTAAACTGACATGTATGACATTATTTTGAAAGAATTTAACGTAACATTTGAAACCAAGAAAGTAAAGTTTACCTGGCAGCATATCGATGGGGTCCAGCGCAGCTGCGAGTGCTTGCCAGCGCAGCGGCGGCGGATCCCTTTCATCAGGATTTCGTACGCCAGCTGCCAGTTCAGGAGCCACGCGTTGGCTCACCAATAATGGAGGTAATACCGCCACATGCCGCCCAGCGACTGACTCGTTATAGTGAGATAACACCGCCGACCAGTGATGCGATGACAACCTATAGAATACACTCGTTACTATATATCATCACACTGAAGACACTTCAGAACAATAGAGAGGAACGGAAGGATTTTAAGAAGCTTGCTATAATAGAATCGTTTTACTGGCGGTTTAGGTATCGCATTTACGTTACAGATTATCTAGAGGATACTACTGATTTCCCAGCTGGTTGCAGTTTTTTTACTCTAGTCCACAGCACTACAAACTCGTAACTAATTTATTCTCAACCCACATGTCATGTGCTTGACTTGCACGACCAAAAGGTTAACGATCAATCACAGCATTTAATATCATAATTGGTGCATGATTGAAACGCTGATTCATTCATACTATGTCAGTCATTATGGTTTCAGAAACGAGATAAATGTTTATTTACTAGAAATAATTAAATATTAAACAGACCACCACTAGGGAACACACTAGTATTCAGATATTATTTTATTGCGACAAACATATTATTATGTTCCCAAGACCAGTCACCAGTCTAACGAGATGTGCATATTTGTCTACGCCAACACATTTAATCGTCGTCTACATAAATTTAAAAAACGTTACTACAAGTTTCGACTTATGAAACTTTATTGACGTTAAGAACACAGTAGTATGTATAATGCGTTGCTGCAATATCTACATAATGTATTAATTTGCTCTCACCTCGACCACGGCCGCGAGTGTGGTGAATGTTTTAGCATAATGGTGTCATTTGCATCCACTACGTTCTTTTCCGAATCAATATCCAGCATCGGCGGGAATACCAAGGGATTTCTATCGCTGTTGTTGTAAAACATGAACGTCGACTGCTTTGGCTCGTTCTTCTCATAATTCCTCCTGTTTACTTCAGCTTCAGTTTTCTCGATATTGCTGATGAAGTAGTCAACAACGCCGGAGTTGTACACTATCATCGAGATCCACACCAACATCCAGACCATGAAGGCGCGTTGAAAGAACCGCGTCCTCGCCCACATGTTCACCAGGCGGATTCGTTTCGGTACTCTGTGGTCTTGGTGACCTGGACTTGAATTCCTTTTAGCTACAACATCTGTCGGACTGTTGTGAGCCAGGCCATTCAATCTCGGATGTGATTTCGACTTTGTCATTCTTTGTGGCGAAAAACTATTTTCCTCTACGTAATTCTTACTGAATCTCCAATTAAGAGCGTTATTTGCATTGAAGTATTCCTTTAGATGTAACTTGTTATTTTGATCTTTGAAATATTCCATGCGGTGAACATCGATTCCGAGTATAGTAGCAAAAAATGCCATTTGAATGAAAAAATCCGATATCAAACTGACTATCATGAATATGGAGAACTCTTGGATGAATGGAACAAATGTAAAGAAACTAACCGTAAGTATGGTGATTTCAGTAAGTAAGTTTTTGGTAATGGACCAGCCTTCTCTACTAAGGCCCTGAGCGAGTCGGATCTTCACGTCGAGGCGTGAGTCAGTGGATGTAACGCTCTTGGTCAGAACTAACACATTTTCTAGTCCCACGATGATCACTAAGTAGGGGAAGATCTCTTTGCCTTGTAAACTCAGTGAGAATCCGAAATAAAGACAAATGCCCATTGACATGGCGAGACTTCCACCAATCGTGAGGACAGAACAAGCGGCGAGGCCTAATTTAGATCGAATAAACTCTATTTTTCTAACGGAGAAGTAGACGTACAAAAACAGTCCCACAAATGTTATAGTTAAAGGAACCAGTTCTCTATAATTGAACTGTCCTGGATAGTAAACGAGAGTAAACTCGTTCACGTGAGTGTACGGCATGTCTTGATATAGTGGGTATATTTCTTTCAGCTTTTTTGTTAAAGATTGAATGTATCTGAAAGTAAAACATTATTCATTATAATAAATATTATAAAATAGTGCAGTGTAATTAATTCTTAAAAATACCTAATAACAATCATTTTTTAACGATAAGACTAATGTAACGCGTTGATAATCACGAAAACCAGTCATTTGTCAAGTTATAAATAGAATTACACTAATAATATAAATGTGAAAGTTTCTTTAATTGTGTGTTTGTCCGTCAAACACGCTGAAACTACTTAACGGATTTTTATGAAATTTGGTATACAGGTAGACAAGCAGGCTGACTTATGTGATACGATACTTTTTATCCCGGTTAAATGCTCCCATGGGATACGACAGGAATCTTGTATAGAGACAGGGCCTGACCTGGCTCACGATTCTGACTAAAATCGTTTGTAAATGTCCTAATTTCACGCGGACAAAGCCGCGGGTAAATACTATTTGTTTAGTATGTACAAAATGATAGTTGATCGTTATACATTATTTGAAAATAGATAAGAGTACTACGAGTGATATATCACATTAAGGTACCTATCTTAACAGGTACAATGGGTAACCAAAACTGAATCGGTTAACTTTTTGTATTATAGAGGTATTTATTATATAAATGTAATTTTTAAGTGTGCAACAATGGCTACAGAGCAGATGCAGAATGACTGAAAATTTTCAAGACTTAAAGCTATAACTTCTTAACTCCTACCTATAAAGGACAATATACATATTTTAGGGGATTCGAAATTGGACTTTTGACCTTTAGTCAAAGATACTTGACCATTTGCTAAATGACTTTGGTACATCCGTGCATAAACAATTTAAAAAAGGCATGCGACTGACAACTGCGAAAAGTAACGTTCTAGACGTTACTTTTTACAGTACGTATGAAATTTGACGACGAATTTTTTGCATAGTAATGCGTAGGTAGACCATTTGTATGGGTTCACTGACACTTCAAACAAAATTATGAGTGCATTTTTCTTTACATATCAGAAATGAGAAGTAGTGACGCAGATCATAAATAATGTATGTACTGACAAGATTGGCTTGGTAGTTTGCTGACCGGTTGCACGTGGATTCGATTTCCACACGAAACAACTGTTTATAGGATATACAAAATATTGCTCGACCTCGAGTATGGATGTGACATGAACGTAAAACTATTATAGGTATGTGACACGGAAGATAATTTCTAGAAAGTTCTTCTCTAGAAATTCGTCAAAATAAAAAATTATATGTATTCTTACCTTTGGTCTGGTTGCTGGTAGAATATAGTGACGGCATACTGCAACACTCGTGGTCGAGCTCTTAAGGGATATCTTTTGATGCCCGTCTCTCGGAGTTGCATGCCAAAAGCCATTTCTGCTATTGACACTTTGGCTTTCTGAAGATTCTGAAATTGATTTTTATTTATTTTCTAATCATGTGTGTCATGATTGCACAGTTGGAGCTGTGTGCCACTAATTATTGTTTTGAGTTAGGCTAATGGGTATATGTTTGAAAATGCAAAATGCTTTATCGACACAGTACGAGCTCTTGGAGTAGGGCCATATTTAAGAAAGAGAGAGAGAGAGAGAGAGAGAGAGAGAGAGAAAGAGAGAGAGAGAGAAAGAGAAAGGGAGAAGCTTAAAATGTTATATAACTTATAAAAAGTATACAATTACAAAAACACTGGTTTTTGATGCGAATCCTGGCTGAATACGACTAAATAATGTGCTTACACCTTTTCCAAACCAAATCTTCATCATATAAGTTAAGTAAGTAGTACCAAGGTACAACAATGATAACCTTATTTGCACACAAACATTTCCTCATTTTAGGACTACTTTACTCAACGATACTTGCATCATAAGGTCTTTGTCCTTATGTAAATGAATATTATGTACTGCTGAATATGTTGCTGAAAGGTAGGGCGAGTAAAGTGTCGTAAATGCTGACTAAGGACTACACATTGGAAAAGATTGGACAGCAGCATTTTATGACAATTGGTGGGACATTACGGCAAACAATAGTATGTAGTTTATACATAGTCCACTGTAGGACTATTCCTCCAATGGATTGTCAAAGGCACTTGATGATGAAAATTAAAATTTCAACATAATATACGTTTTAACATCAACAAAATCAATGAATTATATTCATTCACTCATTCATTAGTTATATTTATTTCATTTTCAATTTGCAACTTTTACATATGTCATTCATTTTGATCGTCCTTTTTGATTATTCATGTTAATTAGATCAAATCAAATTAGTTAATTGTCCTACTTTTCTGTCGTAAATCGTTTGTTTGTAGTTTGTTTTTTTGGTTTGTTTGTTTGAACGCGCTAATCTCCGTAACTACAAGTCTGATTTGAATAATTCTTTTTGTGTTGCATAGCGCATTTATCGAGGATGGCTATAGGCTATAAAACATCACGCTACGACCAACAGGAGCTAAGCAGAGCGTGTGAAACCGCGCCGAAGTAGCTAGTCTCTTATAAAACTACAGAATTTTGAAACGACATGTTCGAGCATTTCAGAATAGATAGCGACGGTCGTAAAACTCTTGAAGTAGCAGTACATGTACCAAGGTAATTGAATACAGTGTAAGATCGAGAATAGCTAACTCCTAACTCGTCAACGAGGTAGACACGTGTACGGTGTAGAACAGTCGCAACGATGATTCCGTTGAGGGCAATTTGTCTACAATCATCGTCAGCTGCATCACCTTGAAGAGATTACGAATAATAGTTCTCGTACAATAGAATGGGACTTGTGACGAAAGGAACCTTGAATTTAACTATTTAGTACTAGCTCTTACCCCTGGTTTTGTCTGCATGAATTTTCCAGGAATGGTAGCTTTTACCCTACATATTACTCAGTAGTCCCAGCTTTAAGTAAGCAGTATTTGAAGATGGGTTGGGTAAATATAGTGTAAAGAGGTAATTTGGTTTTGTAATATTAGTTGAGTTTTACATGCCACTCCTTTTGATCCTGGAATAGGCAGAGGTGCACTGAACATATACACAATGCGACACTTACTTTTCATAAGTTATGTATTTTATGAGTCTCATGCTCCCATGTACATTAAGGTATGTGCCGATAGCCTGACTTGGAAATCGAACCCGATACATCTTGCTAGGCAGTCACACTAGCGACAACTCGACAAGCCAGTCAATTCGTTTTTTTAATATTTACCTGATAATTATAGACAGTGTTGATGATGTTAGCATCCAGGGAAAACGACTGTAGATTCTGTTGCCAAAGATTTGCCGGAGATAGGAGCAAGCAGCTATATTCCGGCAGTACTCGCTCCATGCTCGCTTTACTATCACGCCGCTTGATACCCCCGATTTGATAACAATGCTGCAGAAGTGTGCTCTTCCTAAAACAAATATAGCATAATTTTGTGAGCAAAGTTTGTGTTAGTATTTGTTATTGATATTATTTACACAGTTCGTGTGAGGTATCATTGTAGTATTTTCCACTATATTTTTGTAAATCGAGAAATGTAATTAGGAAATCAGTTAAGTACATAGTTTAGAAACATTTCATGATGTAGCATGTTCATTATCGCTAGCATAGCTTTTTAATTCTCGAAGTAATTGTAACATATTAGATTTCAAACATCTCTGTAAGCATTTTTTCCTCATCTATGCATAGGTATTGAAGAATCAGTATAAGGAGAGTATTGAAATTTTAATCTACCTACATTTTCGAAAATATACAGTGGTAATAAAATACAAATTGTACATCTTTCAAGTCCTTAAAAATACCATTTTAAACAGTTTTAGGAGACTTTGTTTCCATTTATTTAAGGTTTTGACTGCTAATAGCAAACTGTTGAAGGAAAATCTTGCCGCTAACCGGTCACCAGTGACCCCCGAATGGCGTTTAATGTGTTAAACACTAACATCATCATATAAAATATCTTTAAAATACTGATTCAAATAATTTCAAACCAATAAAATTCGAATGCATTTGTAATTTACTAATCAAAATCGCATAAAATTAAGCAATAGCCGCATAAAATCGCAATACTGCAAAAATAAATAATCATAATAAGCTTAGAAATCAAACAGTGTGTAATGCATTCTAGTCTATACTTTCAAAATACTATGCAACAAAAATATGAAACTATTTCTTTAGTAGCAAAAATATTCAAAAAGTAAATGACCCAACAATTTTTTAAACTTTCTTTTGTCTTTGTCACCATCTTGAATAAATCATAACAAAGCTGGCTCAGCTATTTTCGAGATTTCGCTTAGCATACATATTAACAAATTATTTTAGTTTATATTTATCTGATAGCTGACTACTTGTCTAGAAGACTAGGCGAGTTAGGATGCTAGGAAGAGCTTATAACTGGTAATAATATTAAGTTTGATTGCGCAAGTTTATACTTGGGGGCAAATCTTGAATGATCGATAGCAAATTAACAATCGCTTACATGATACACATTACACATCGTAAAGTAGCCAACATACTTTCCATTGCCTTAACAGCTAAAGCGGAACATAATTTATTTGCATAAGATTTGGTTCACAGAATTCATAACACAAATAGCTTGGCAGCTTGGCTTTGCAATGCAACTGTAAAACTCTTTAAATAGTTTAACATAATACAGGTTGATTAGAAGTCTTATTTATTAGAAGTAAATTAAAAAAGAATTAAAAATAATAAAAAAAACAAATGTACAGTAAAAACTCACGTTTCCGGATCTTCATGGTTTCGTATTGTCTCTAGCAATCTAAAGACTTCTTGCAAAGGAGCCCTGAATGCATCCCACATCTTCAAATTGTTGTTCCATGGAGATACACCTAAAGAAATATACAACATAACATCACGCCTATTATCCCCGAAGGGGTAGGCAGAGGTGCACATTATACCACTGTACAATGTAACACCCACTTTTCACTATTTATGTTATGAGTCCCATGTAATAGGGGGTGAGCCTATTGCCATATACCGGGCACAATTCCAGACTCCGTGCTACTACTGAGAATATTTAAAAACCCAGTAATACTTTGCCCGACCCGGGAATCGAACCCGAGACCCCTTGCCCAGCAGTCGCACTTACGACCACTCGGCCAACGAGGCAGTCTAAAGAAATATGTATTTTTTATTTGCTTACTAACAGTAGTGTAGGGATATAAATTAAGGTTGACATTCGTAACTGCATAATGATTGATAGGATAGACGCATGGTAATGTCATACAAGGTCTCGGTATTTTTGCTCTTGGGTTCACAGTTGTGCTAGTTGTAAAATAGTAATGTTGAAACCATTACTGCTGATTAAAGTGTTATATAACAAGGAAAATATGTAATAAAAAGATTGTTTTACACCTAAATATTTTAAAATATTTCATTATCAGACAGGAAATATGAGTATAACATTATAACATGCTTTTTCATGCCTAAAGGAGTATGCAGAGGTGTAGGTACCTATGCTAATGCTCACTTTTGAACAACATACTCGCTTTTTAAGTTAGTATTCATAGGTACCCACATTTAATGATGTACCCACTGTAATAGGCTTCATTTAATGGAATTTTAATTGTCGTGTGAATGAGGTTACCGGAGACCCAATTACCCACCCCTTCCCCAATCTCCTCAATTTCTGAATCCATGGCGATCCTCAAACTCCTAATCCCCAAAAGGCTGGTAACACACTTGTAACGCCCCTGGTGTTTCAGGTGTCGATGGGCGACACCGATTGCTTACCATCAGGTGATCTGTCTGCGCGTTTACCGGCTTATGCCATAAAAAAACGCTAGATTTAGAACTCTAGTGACCAAACACATGGTAATAATAATCCCAAGTAGCAAAATTGTCTTAAGCAAAATTGTCTTATAACATTTAACTTATAAAATTGCATTAACTTATAAGATTACATTAACTTATAAAATTGCATTAACTTAAAAGATTGGATTAACTTATAAGATTGCATTAACTTATAAGATTACATTAACTTATAAAATTACATTCATCAACAGCCTATAAATGCCCACTGCTGAGCAAAGCCTCTTCTCACACGGAGAAGGTTAGAGCGTTAATCACCACGCTTGCTCAATGCGGGTTGGCGATTTCAAACTTATAATTAGAAATTATAAGTCCAGGTTTCCTCACGATGTTTTTCCTTCACCGTTTGTCAGTGGTGTCTAAATAATCTTAGAAAGTACATATAACTCGGAAAAAGTCACATTGGTACTTGCCGTAAGTTGGTTTCGAACCCGCACCCTCATGCATGAGAAGTGAGCGTCTTAAACCTCCGGGCCACCACGACATTTTACATTAACAAAATTACATTAACTTATAAGATTACATACAAGTAAATTTCTACTTTAATATTTTTTATGTTTGCTATTCCCTAAAACTTTAAAATTAAATATAGTTGCATAGGTATGTCATAGAAGCGTTAACTTTAAATTTAAATTAAAAGGCACTTGTACGAAGGTATGTTTACTACCATCTAGCAGTTCATCAATAAAATAATTTTGCAAGTTATACTGGCACTCTTTATAAAACAGTTACACAACAATAGTTATAAACTTTATTATAATGAGAGACACTAGAATAATGTGACTACACTTCTTTATGAAAACGAATAAGCATTTAAAGACACAGTTAAAAAAAATTATGAAGAAAGAACAAATGATTGAGTGATCAATCAATCTGATCACTGTAAGATCAATTACAATTACAGGATATCTATAGGATTACAAAATATGTGGTCCTAAGATAACACACATTTTGCTACTTAGGATATTCATAGAAACAATCAATTTGTGTCAAAATTATGCTAGGTTCTTTTCAAACACTGCTGAAGTTGCTAGCTACATTTTTTGTAACATTATGTTACATTATATTATTCATATAGTATTACCTATTTTCATAATGATTTGTTGCACATATAGTAGAGGTTTGTCCTTTGCCCAAATATAAGGAAGCTTCTGCGTTTCATTGTAAAGGATTTCCAAATGTGAAGGTCTTTCTGCAAATTGTATGAATAAATATTTTAACATTTACATAATAATAAATAATTGTTAGAGTGTTGATAAAACAAATAGTGAATAATGCATTCCACAAATATTACATACCTTCTGAGCATTTACTTTGGCTGCAATCAGAACTTGTGAGATCATAAATGTCAACACCATGAAGCGGCAATGTTACAACAGTTGGTTTGTTTCCAGGAAGAGGTACATTTAGTAGAGGGTAACTGAAAATAAATATAATACTCTAGTCTTCTATTTACACATGTCTTAGAACAAGTTCAAGAAAAGTTTCCACTTACCAGCACAGTAGCAAAACAGATAGTGCCAATGTGATTGCTGTAATAGGATAAGACGAACAAAATAATCCGTAAGTATAATAAATCTGAGCTACCCTCTCGGGCAGCGTGGATCCTGCCATTGTTGACAGTCTATAACTCGTTAACTGTCTGGGAAATTCCGTTTACTAATCTCAAGACACCATCGCACGAGTATTCACGTCACTTGCAAATTTCAAAACGTTGTTTATACACGATTATGTTACCAGAGGCGCATTTAGTGCGGCCGATAGCGTGTGCAGTAGTGATAGTCACGAATGCTATGGTATTTCGCATCATGCACGAGCATGCCGCTATGTACACTGTAGACTCTGGTTTCTCAGTAGTAGAACCAATTATTAAGTATTACATCAACCAAAGCAACTCAACCACGCAATTTTGACATAATGACAGCATCACTCGTAACTTTGACAGTGACTCATAACACCACAGACTAAAAATTGTTCGGATACTCGTCTAATCGGATTGTCTTATCGCTTATACATGCCTATTTGTTAAAATTATCTATCCAATACTTAGGAGATTTTAAAGATAAAGAATTTTATAATTTATAAAATTATGTAGATACTGATAATATAGTGACGTTATAGCGAACGTTTTGTCAATGTAACTGTAAAATATATAACATTTCAATTCTTTACTCGACTTGCCATATTATTTAGCAGTTAAATAGGCCATCTTTTCCTTTCTCGAACGCGCGGAAGCGGAAAGCGCGTGAAAGTTCCTGTAGTTCATTACAGGAACTACTCGTTGTTTTGAAATAATAATCTTTCCTTGCCGATTTTGGCGTCTGCGACTGTTTGTTGACAAACCTGGCATCTATCATGGAATCTCATGTGACCGGAAATTCACATAGTTTTCATCAAAGAGTATAATAAGTATAGGGGTTAGTTTTCATTTCCACTGAGATGGACGTACATCCCATGCCTCTATTTGCCATGCTTTCGCTTCCCTCCCTGAGATTTGATTAGAGAATATCATGAGGTCCTACTCAATGATTTTCACATTGGCTCGTCCTAATATTTTTAGGTTACTGGATTAGACGTGGATTAGATCATTTAATTTTTTTTTTGGATTGTACAAAGAAATTTAAGACGACATCGATTAATTGTTTCGATTTAGGCTGATGACAATATTATCGTAGTAGGTTTACCTATCTTTAATCTGAAATAGTATAGATAGAGCACTTTACTGCAATTAAACCACACCGTTCACCGTGTTTACTTACTAGGCGGGATTAAACGTGCGGTCCATGGCCCTCTACGGCGCCCCTGTCTGGGCACCTAACCTGCTGCGGCGTCCCGCTCGGACGCTGCTCATGGCACAGAGGGTCATGGCGATCCGAATGATCCGCGGATACCGCACGATCTCTGGGGAGTCGGCGAACCTCCTTGCCGGATTACCGCCGTGGGATCTGGAGGCGAAGGTGCTCGCGCGCGTGCACAGCATGCGCGCGGAGGCACGTCGCCGGGGCGAAACTCCGCTGCCGCGCCAGATAAGTGCGTGGCGGGATGAGCTCCGGCGCGATCTCATGGCGGAATGGCAGCAACGACTGTCGCAACCGAGGGCTGGGCTCGCTGCCATCGCAGCGGTAAGTCCCCTCTTTGAGGAGTGGCTTGAGAGACGCTACGGCGTCCTCACCTACCGCCTGACGCAGGTCCTCACCGGACATGGAAGTTTCGGGAGGTACCTGTGTCTGATGGGGCGGGAGGAAACGCCCGGGTGTCATCACTGCGAGGACCGCCCTGAGGACACGGTGGAACACACGGTGGGAGAATGCCCTTCGTGGGCTGAGCACCGCCGTGTCCTCAGGGAAGTGATCGGCGATGGCGACCTCTCGCGTCCGGGCCTAGTGCAGGCCATGATGCGGAGCGAGGGGGATTGGGATGCCGTCTCCTCCTTTTGCGAAGCAGTCATGCTAGCTAAGGAGGAGGCGGGACGCGTGAGGCAGCGAAGCGCTGCCTCCTCGCAACCCAGCCATCGCGAAGGACACACCGGGCGTCGGGGATCGCGGGACGATCTCCGGCCACCGTAAGCGCGGGCCTGCGGACGGCGAGCATGGGTGGCTCCCCGTCCGACCAGAAACAGACCCGAGCGTACGGCGCGTCGCGTTCCGCGCGCGCCTCAAAGAGCCATCAGACCACCACAGATGGGGCCCAATAGGGCCGATGCCGATTCGGAGTCGCGGAGAACCTAACGGGTAACCGGGGCTCCGGCTCGACGTGCAGGAGAAGGAACGGGGTGGTTTTTAGTCAGTAAGAGTCTGACACTCCCTCCCGCCTCACCCAGGCGGGAACAGTCATTCGATGATTTTCCCCCCTTAAAAAAAAGGCGGGATTAAAGCAGCCTATAAATTAGATAGATTAGATCAGAAGGAAAGTAAAAGTGCATTTTGTCGTACAAGAAAACAACAGTTCAATCAAACCTATATAAGTTTAGGAGTAGGAGTCGCGACGCATATCACGATCCTATACAACTCGTGACGTTACACGATATTTGTAATAAACATAACGTCGAAAATATTTAATTATGTGAGAAAATAAAAAATACGGGTTTAGTGTTTTAATATGATCTACCAAATGGACATTAAAAACATTAGGAAACTACCCTATTAGAAGAGCGTGTTGGACGTGACGTAAAACATCATTGAAATCTTGGAATCATGATTTGTTACTAATGTTTTAATCAATAGATGGCGTTGCTTACATCCCAGTATTCCTATCATCTCGCGAGTAAAACATCGTAATAGTTTGAAAGGATCAGCTACGTCGATGTAAGCAAATTTTTAAATCCCTTCTATACTTTTCTGATTCACGTACACAGAGAAGAATATTATTATGTTTACCTTTCTGTGTGAAAGACGAATTATCTGTGTATTTCAAAATTCTAGAAGCATTTTCATTAATCATTCCGATTGTACACAAGAGCTATGGCGCTACTAAGTTCAAATAATTTCAGTGAAGCCCTGGTTTCAGCCAGAGACTCACTCGTCACAGTTTCAAACACAATTAACTGGCAGAACTCAGTATAATCAGATTCTGCTGCTATAAGTTGCTATTATACTAAAGTGGAGCGACAGCCAACTGCCCTCTACGTCATTGTAAGTTACCTAGCTATCTACCAACATACCTACGTATTACATACGTTGTACATTCAACAGTCTGTCCAAGTTAGACTTTAAGTCTCAGTTTAAGATTCCTAATTAATTTGCTGTCCGTGCAATTGTCTGACGGATTTGCCAAAAAAGCAGGTTGTGTAATTTAATAGACCATCAGCATTACGCCCTTTTAAGCCTAGAACAAATATGTGATCAAGAAAAATAGACAAAGCAAAATAATAAACATTACACGATTATATTATTATATCGGTAATAATAGAAATCCATTATAAGCCGATGTGTGTATTAAGTGTGGGCGAGCCATGCTTTAGCACCAATGGGCCGGCTCAACCAGAGTGATAACACGTCCTCATAGAAAACGTGACGTGAAACAACGCTTGCGTTGTGTTTCGTCATGTCAGTGTGGTTAGCGGAGGCCAAATTATCTCTTCCCGAATCTCACTGATCTCCAAATCTTCAAACAATTCTCAAATTATTAAACCCCAAAAGGCCGATAAGGCACTTGTAACGCCTCTGGTGTTTCAGGTGTCCATGGACGGTGCGGATTGCTTACCATCAGGTTATTCGTCTGCCATTTACCGGCCTGTCCCATAAAAATATTATTATTATTGTTTCACATCCCTTTACTATTCTTTTTCACGTCTCTTCGTACGAATGCCACGATTTTTTGCGTCTGGAAATAGGAGAGACAGAAGAGTGAGATTTACTAAATCTCTGTTGACTACGCGAGCGAAGCCGCAGGCAGAAAGCTAGTAATAATACAGAACATAACATTTCATGAGATGTTTTTCAAATAAAACTACAATACAAACAATAAAAAAACCTTTCGCCGACGAAGTCAAAAACCGGCGAAACTAGGTGTGCTTTCAGGAGTTATCCTGCGACTTTAATATTTGTTATGTTATTATAAGTCCTTTAAAATAGATAGAACACACGGCTCATTCCAGAGTCTATGCTATTATGGGAATGAATAATGAAATTAATTAAAGAAATAAGGAAATAATAATGAAATTAAAAAGGAAATTAATAATGAAAAATCTCAGTAATGTCAGTGTCAGTCTTTTAGGGTAAAGCTGAGCCTGAGCTATTACTATTTTATTTATTTATTTATTCATGTACCCAACACAGACAATACACAGAAAAAATATATTGGGTGAATATCAACAAGTGCATATTTTTTTGAGATATTTGAGTTCAAAGACTAGTGCAGCCACCAAAATTGATATTTGTCCACCAAAATTGAGAGTGCTTAATTATCAGATTAAAAATCAGTTTTTGTCACAAACTTAAATCTCACTAATGAAGTTCAATGTCTGAAATACTCGGGAAAGACCAAAAACTCCATCAGTTAATAAAACTTAGTCTTGTTATGATAATATTTATTATTATTTATCTGATGAACTCGTAATGATAATTATGAGTGTAGATATAAAACAATCTTTTTATTTTGAACAAAATTACTTGCCAAACAACAAAAAATTCCTCAACAAAACTAAGAAACCAAAACATAATAAACTCTTAACTCTTCTGAGTTCTGAAATCCTTCGCTGCAATATCTCTATCTCTTTGCCTTTGCTTTCTTTCTTCTTTTCTTTTTATTTTTACAAATATCAATACTGCTGACACATGGAGATGTAGGGGGTGACAGTGCTATAAGTTCAGCAGGGCTACTTGTGCGAAGACTTTGTGACTTAGGTACTTGGAGTAATATGACTTGTGGTCGGCTGTAAGCTGTCGAAGTATGGATGTTGCAAAGTCATTTTTTTATGGCCTAAGCCGATAAACGAGCAGATTTATTATTGAGCGGATTACCTGACGACAAGTAATCGGCGTCGCACATGGACACCTGGAACACCAGAGGCGTTACAAGTGCGTTACCGGTCTTTTAGGGATTGGGAGTTTGAGGATCGTTGGCGATTCAAGAATCTCCCCAGATTAGGGAAGGGGAGGGTAATTGTGCCTCCGGTAACCTCACTCACACGACGAAACACAACGCAAGCGTTGCTTCACGTCGGTTTTGTGTGAAGCCGTGGGTGGTATCACTCCGGTCGAGCCGGCCCATTCGTGCTGAAGCATGGTTCTCCCACACTTATTACTTTTGGTGCGAGCATCTGGACTACTACAATTACAACTTGTTCGTGGACGTAAATTTCTTGAAACCAAGGTATATTGCTTTGTGCTCTCATGTTCAAATCGTGTAGATCTCGTCACGGTGCTTGCAAGAAGGTCTTGCGGATTAACAATTAGTTTACGAAAACGTCTACATCATACGTCTTGTT